CTGCTGACACGCCTATGCTCCCCGTGTGTTTATGCAGACCTTGGAGCCCTGGAAGCTGTATGCCACAGTGGGCCTACTGGTGGGCATGGACATCCTCACTCTTGCCATCTGGCAGATTGTGGATCCCCTGCACCGGACAATCGAGGTACTGACTGAGAGAAGGCACTGGGTGGTGGGTGGTTAGGAGGATCACAGATGCAGGCTGTGCGTGGTCTTGAGGGATAAAGCTGCTCGGAATGCTGTTGGCCGCCTATGTTAGCAACTCCTCCTCTCCCAGAAGAAGCCCCATGAGAGGCTTCTGGTTTCACCTAAAGAAAGAATCAGAGGGGACCTGGAAAGGTGGTATGATTTCTAGGCTTCAGGGAAAGTGGGAAACAAGCACTTGCAAGGTGAATGCTTTAGGAAGACATTCTCAGGGCTAGAGTAGGATTTGGTCTGAGCACTGAGGTCTCATGTGAATTAGGTGGCAGGGTTGGGACTCTGATCCTGAGCGGAGTTTGGGAGATCAGGTGAATAGTAACTAACTATCTTACTGATGGTTCTATGTCTCTCTTAGACTTTCGCCAAGGAAGAACCAAAGGAAGATATTGATGTCTCTATTCTGCCCCAGCTAGAGCACTGCAGTTCCAAGAAGATGAACACATGGCTTGGTGTGTGGGATACAGGGAAAGGAGGGAGCGATGCAGTGAAGTCAGGAGGGATGGGCCAGGACAGGATGTTCAGAGGGTATTTTAGTCTGTTGTATTGCTAATAGCAGAGATATTGATACCCAGGTCTGGATAATCTGTAAAGAATAAAGAATAGGATTTTCTATTTTAAAAGAACTACTTATTTAATTTTATTTATTATTATTATTTAATTTGACTGGAGAGAGACAGAGAAAGAAAGGGAAAGTGAAAAATCAAGCTTCCAGGTCCAGGTCTTGAACTGTGGTTAGCCACGTAGGAGTCCAGTGCTCTAACTGCCATGCCACAGGCCAGCCCCAAGAATAGTGGTTTATTTACCTCATGGTTTTGGAGTCCGAGATCAGGGGGCCACATCTATTGAGGGTTTTTTCTGTTGGTGGGAATTCTCCTCAAGAGTCCCAAGACACTGCAGAGAATCCTATGACAAGACAGGACAAGAGCAGAGTGTGTTGTCTTTCTCCTTAAAAAGCCACCAGAGGGACCAGCAAATGGCGTAATGGTTACATTGCTGGACTCCCACATGGCTGACCATGGTTTATGTCCCAGTTCTGGAGGCTTGAAATTTATACCAAGCACATGTGCATGAGGGCACAAGATCCCAAGAGGAGAATGGAGAAGGGAAAGTGGCATGGCCATCCTCCTGGGGGGTGATTTCTTGCTTTCTGTTTTTCCAGTGAGCACATACACCCTATGGCAAAAATCTCTTAAATAAAAAAAAAACCACCAGGAGGGGCTGGCAGGTGGCATAATGGTTAGAGCTCTGGACTCCCACATGGCCAACCATGGTCCGAGTCCCAGACCTGGAGGTTGCTTTCTCAATCTCCCTTCCTCTCTCTGGTAAAATTTTAAAATAATAATAATAAAGAAAATGAAGGGACTGGCAGGTAACATAGTGGGTGGGGCTTTAGACTCTCACATGGCCAACCAGGGTTCAAATCCCAGACCATGTAGCTTGCTTTCCTTCTCTCTGTCTGTCTCCAGTGAAGTTGAAAAAATAATGATCATAATAAATAAAGTTGAATAAATAAAGAAAAAAAGAAAATGAAATACATGGTTCTAAAAAATAGCCACCAGGAGTAAATCATGGGGGCCCTGCCCTGACGACCTCTTTAAATCCCAGTCACCTCCCAAAGGCCCCACCTTTCAATACCATAGTTGGATTCTCCACCCTTTCAACACTTGTAGTGGCTCGCCCTATTTCTGTACATGAATTCTAAGGGACATATTTAATCTATAGCAGAGGGAGAGGCTTTGGGAGAGGACAGAGAGAGGACTTTGTCAACCCTCTTTGTCACTGTACTAGTCTTTTTTGAGAAATAAAGAAGGTTGGTCATTTACTGTGAGTTTAGGGTCCAAAGCGGGCATGAAGAAGACCTTGTGTGCAGAAAAGGGACCAGTGAGGATGAGCCCATGCAATAGTTGACACCATCTGTGTCTGGGCAGCTCCTTCGATGAAGACTCAGCTGTGAGGTCATGGGTTTAGGCGCCTCTTGGCCTTATTAACATTGCTCTGATCCATAACTACAAATGGTGAACCTGTCTTCAGCCTAGTGGGTATCTTCCTACCTGGAGGGTGAGGAGTATGATACTGTTTGTGGCCCTGACTGGCTCATTCTTGGCTGTTCAACATGCTGCTCACAACCGTCATGTTCCTGTGTGGATCTGAGAGGAAGCAATGAGGCCTGGGCAAACTGAGTGGACATAGCAGGAGGGGGACTCAAGGAGGAGTGTGCTAGGTCAGAAAGGCTGGATTGGAGGAGTGTGCTAGGTCAGAAGGGCTGGATTGGATTGTAGCAGGTGAAGGGCAAAGAGAGGATGAGGATAGGGTAGGGAGCATGGGGGTCCAAATTGCTCAGGTGACCCTTGCTTGCTGTCGTAGGTATTTTCTATGGTTACAAGGGGCTGCTGCTGTTGCTGGGAATCTTTCTTGCTTATGAGACTAAGAGTGTGTCCACTGAGAAGATCAACGACCACCGGGCTGTCGGCATGGCTATCTACAACGTTGCAGTGAGTTTCCCCGACATCTGGTATTGGCCTGTGGGCTGCCTGCAGCAACCCCGGTGCCGTGGACTGGGAAGAATCGGGTGCTAAATCTGGGATCCATTGTGTGGATGTCTTAAAAAGTTTGTTAATGCCTCAGATTTATAAAATACAGTTTATAAAGCTCACTATAGACACTGTATCATTAATCTTGCAACTTAATAAAGTAGATATTAGGATCCCCAATTTATAGGTAAGGAGACGAACACGAAGAGGGCACATTGCATGTCCATGGTTCACGGGCTGGACTGTGACTCAAGATTTCCTGCCAGCTGTCCCCAGGGACTGACTCTCGAGGACTCCGAATGTACATAAAGATCCTAGGAGTTCTTGCCTTGAAGGAGAGCTTGGGCTAGAGCCAGGAGCTAGTTTAGAAGTTTATTTGGGGTTCTCCTCAATCTAGATTTTGATTTTTTTCAAATGGGAAGTGCACCAGGAACTTGTCCTAATAGGCTCTCTCACGGGGGAAGAAAATCCCAGATCTTGCCTGAGCCTGCACACCTGAGACTCGCGATCGTGCTCTGTCCCCTAGGTCCTGTGCCTCATCACTGCCCCTGTCACCATGATTCTGTCCAGCCAGCAGGATGCGGCCTTCGCCTTCGCCTCTCTTGCTATCGTTTTCTCCTCCTATATTACTCTGGTTGTGCTCTTTGTGCCCAAGGTGAGTTCTGGCTTTGCTTAGACCTCTCAAGTCCTATGTCCCCTCCATTCTTTCCTCCTAGGGAGAGGATCACCTCTTCTTATCACTTCCCTTGCTTTGGACCCAGCTTGTCCCTCTTGTTTTTAATCCTTTCAACTCCAAACCTCTGTCGCTGGTCATAGCCCCTGCCTGGCCACCCTGACCAAACTTTTGTCCCCAGATGCGCAGGCTGATCACCCGAGGGGAGTGGCAGTCTGAGGCACAGGACACCATGAAGACAGGCTCATCAACCAACAACAACGAGGAGGAGAAGTCCCGGCTGTTGGAGAAGGAGAACCGTGAGCTGGAAAAGATCATTGCTGAGGTGCGTGGGTGATGGTAGGTGAGGGGGCGGTGGTGGGGCCCAGGAGGTCCATGTCTTAGGTCAGTTCCATTCAGGTACTCATGATTTGTGGAGGGAGGGTTTTGAGGACAGAACCTGCAAGAAAGCATGGAGCAGGATAGGGAAGGGAGAAGGGTTGAGCAAGATTCAGTGAGAGGTAAGACTCTAGAATTGGTCCTGTTGGGTGGATGGGGCTCTGGGATGGGAACTGCGTTGCTGACAACTCCATTGAGGCTAGAGGGTGGCCATTGGCTGTGGGTTGCAGCTAGGGGAAGGCAGCTCTGAGCTGCCAGCAGCTGGCACTCATGGCAGCTGGACCTGTCCCCCCCTCAGCAAAGGGGACCTGGGCAGGTACCCACAGTGTTTCTGGGCCCCAGCCTGCAGTTGGGGCCTAATGCGATGCCAACGAGGGGATATTCAAACTGGAGTGAAACCAGTCGTTAGGAGCTGCGTGCACTGACTTCGTGCTTCCCTCATTTTCTTTTTGTTTTTAAATCCTCTCTTATTTTCCTGATCTCTTTTCTTCTCTTGGTCCCATTATGTTTGGCTTTCCTTATTCTTCCCTTGATTCTTCATTTTAATTTCTTCTGTCCACCTACCTCCCCCCGATTTTCTGTGCCATTCCTCCCCACACTGTGTGACCTTCCCTTCTGATCTTCCAATTGTGTTTCTTTCCCCAGAAAGAGGAGCGTGTTTCTGAACTGCGTCATCAACTCCAGTCTCGGCAGCAGCTGCGCTCCCGGCGCCACCCCCCAACACCCCCAGACCCCTCTGGGAGTCTGCCCAGGGGGCCCCCTGAGCCCCCTGACCGGCTTAGCTGTGATGGCAGTCGAGTCCATTTGCTTTACAAGTGACGGGGTCGTAAGGCACGAGAAGCTAGTAGCGGGAGGGAAAGGGTGAGGGAGAGGGCGGGAGACTTGGGAGGAATCAGGGGTCCATATCTTCAGTTGGGAAGAACATGTCATCCATTCCCATCTCTTGTAAATACATGTTCCTCTGAGTCCTGGGGTTCTCTGAGTCTCCAGTACTCTGGAAGACAGGCATTTTTCTCTCTTTTTCATTCATATAATTTTGTATCACTGATTCATAATTCAGTTTGCACCTTGCTTGAAGCTGCTCACTCGTTGCTTCCTGGGCAGCCTCACTGCGTCTTTCTCTTCCCTACAGCCCACCTTTGTCTAGTTACCATGGCAACCCCCTGCAGCTCCTTGCCTTTGTGCTCTGCTCCCATCCAGCAGGGGTCTCCCCACAAGTGCTCTTCCTTCCTAGCAGGGACCTCTCCATTTCTCTCACCATCATAATCTCTCCCATCTACTTGCCTCTCCACACAGCCCCGTATTTGGTCCCCCTTGAGCCTTGCCTCTTCCGGGGACTCGTTCACATGCTCTGCGCGCTCGTGCTTCCCACACACGTGCATCCTCCCCTCTCCTGTTGGTACCCACTGGACACGGTCATGTGCACTTGTGCTTTCTCCATGCTGCAGCTGCCCGTGCTCGCTGGCATGCTGGCCCTCACAAGCTACGTGTGCTCCTCGTCAGGGCTACGTGCCCTGGTTTGGTAGGCGTGTGTATGCAGCATGCTGAGTCATGTCTTCTCTGCTTGCACGCATCCGTGTTTCTCCATGCATTTTCCTGTGTACCTTCTCTTTGCACCTGAAAATCATCGTATCCTTCCAGAGCCACGCTCACCCACCCATAGTATTATGCACTTTTCCCCAACTCACGTTTGGTGGGGCCGTCCACACCCTCTCATCACATCGGTTCCTGCCCACACTTCCCTTTCTCTTTTTGCATTCATGCACCACTCTCAGCTGTACTCGCAATCATCTTCTCCCGAGATCTCTCCCTTTTGTTTTATATTTTTTTGGGGGAACTAAGGGAAAAGAAATGGAGGCAGATTAGAAAAGCTGCTTCCAGTGAATAGTTGGTGAGGATCTTTACCAAAGGAAGGCACCCCTGACTGTTGGGATGGACAGACGGACCTATGGGGCGGGAGGTGGCGTCCCTTTCACACTGTGGTGTCTCTTGGGGAAGCATCTCCCCGAATCTGAATAAACCAGTGAACAGTGTGGCTCAGCACCTCGCCTTCCTTGCAGTGAGCAGAGCGGGCTGCAGTCCTAGGAGGGAGGCTGGAGTGTCCAAGATAATGACGAGACATGGAAGCAGATGGGTGAAAAGGTGTTGTGTTGCTCCATTGAGGATTTAGCCCGGTGAAGCAGGACACGTTAAGGCTGAGATTAACGAGTGATGGCATTAGTGCTTAGAAGTCTGAGCTCTGGAGTCACCTTTCAGAGCATCAGATCTCACCAAAAATGCAATCAAAGGGGCCAGCAGGTGGCATGGTGGTTAGGGCACTGGATTCTCACATGGTCTACTGCAGTTCCAAGTTCCAGACCTGGCAGCTTAAATATAAAAATCACGCTGGTGTGTGTATACGTGTCCAAAATCCCAAGAGGAGATTAGAGAAGGGATTTCAGCATGGTCATCCCCTCTGGGGAGTGATTTCTCACTCTGTCTTTCTTTGGTGAACCCATGCCAAAAACCTAAAAGAAAAAAAGTCTTTAATCCCTATTCTCCACGTCCCCATTTGTGGAGATGAGTATAACAATACATTCCCTCATAGGGTGTGTGTAAGGACCAGATCAGTTCTGGTGTATGGGTTGGTGTTAAGCTGTCACTACCATCAATGAGTTCCCGGCAGTGGGGGGAATGTATTGGAACCAGGGCATGTGGCTAAGCTGATGTGAGGCCTCTTCCTCTCTGGAGGTAAGAATAGCAAAAGAATGACTGCTAGAAGAGAATGAATGAAATAGCCCTGAGAGCTTTTAACCTTAAAGATCTTTGTCTAGAACTCTGAGCATCCTGGAAATAATTTGCTATCAAAACAAAACAAAAACAAAAACAAAAAACTTGCCTGGGATTTTTGTAATTCTTTGTATCCTCTGGATGAGGAAATTTTCACTTTGTCACTGATTTTTTTTTTCCTTTTTTTTTTTGAAGAAGTTTTTGCCATAGGGCGTGTGCGCTCGCCAGACAGACAGAGTCAGAGAGACAGAAAGTGAGAAATCACCCCCCAGGGGGGATGGCCACACCGCAATCTCTTCTCCTCCATTCTCCTCTCGGGATCTTGGGCACGCAAGTACACACACCAGGGGTGAGTTTAAGCCAGCAGGTCCAGGCCGCGAACCGCAGTTGACTACGTGGGAGTCCAGCGACATAGCCATTATGCTAACTGCTGGTCCCTGTCACTGATTTTTTAAAAGTGATTCTTAAATTTTTGTGAAAGAGCTGAAGGGTTGGATGGTCACTGGTTAAGTGTCTATTGAGTCAAAATCTGAACTTTGACTAGAGCACAGGTAGGTTAAATGTTAGACTTAGTACTTGAAAAATATTCCACTGTGATTATTCATCTTGGAGCAACTGGATTTAATTTGAGTTTCCCTTTTGAAAAAGGAATAGTCTCAAGGAAAGGTGGAAAAATTAGGGACCAAATATGCCAACTAGGTAAGTGTGGGAATGAACAGTGGCCTTTACAAATAGCAGCAGGAGCCATATGCAGTCTGGGGTAGAACCTGGAAGGCCCAAACTACCACCTTAACCTTGCAGTGCACTTGGGGTATGGACCTTAAATAAAGGGTCAGAAATTATTCATTTATTTATTTTTTAAAAATTGTGCCAGAGAGCATGTGTGCATGCATCTGCCTACTAGGAAGAGTGAGAGAGCCAGAAAGCACCTCACATGCCACAGTCTCCTCCACTTCCCCCAGTCTCAGGAGTTTGGGCGTGCATGCATACGTAGCTGGGGTATTTCTCAAGCCCCCGTGGTCTGGGACTCAAACCGGGCGTTTGGGCATGGGGATCCAGTTATCTTTCCTATGTCATGGGCTTGTCCCAGGGACCCGAAATTCTACTGTGGCCAAGAGTGGACCAGATGCTCTTTGTTAGTAGAGTGCAGGCGCTAAGCCAGATAGTAGGGGTAGGGGAGGAGCCTGGTACAAAGGAGTGCAAATGGGCTGTGTTGCCAGGGCACCAAGCGGTGCTGAGAGGAGCTGCTGTCTTGGCATTGCGAGGCGGCTTTGTGTTTCCAGCCCTTTCAGTGCGGGCAGGATTTGCTCCCAGACTTCACATCTTTCTGACTTTGGAACGTCCTGGACTCTAGACTCTGCCAGGCCTTGGTGGCCCTATGCTCACTTGCCCTCTAGCCTCCCTGCCCTACTGCTCTCACGAGCAGTTTGCCACTGCATTGGTTTTGTTCTGTTTTGTTTTGTTTGTTTTTTAGTTTGCTATAGATCACGTGCACTTGCTGGAGAAAGTGAAAAATCTCCCCCCTCCCCACTCCCAGTCCCTCAGGGGGATGGTCATACCACAGTCTCTCCTCCATTTTCCTCTTGGGACTTATGGCACGTACAAACATATACCCAGCATGATTTTCAAGCTGCTGGGTCTGGGACTCAACAGGGCCCTGTGGGATTCACCCACCCGACCCTCCATGCCATCCGCTGGCTCCAGTTTTGTTATCTTCACTAAGTGTTGCTTGAGTGGGTTGCTCAGGCAGAAGCTCTCCTAGCTTTGGGGCAGAGCAGTGAGCAAGAAGGGCTTTCATGGGATGTACTGTTTTGAGATGGGAAGGTGACCAGTAAGTAGGTAAACAAATAAGATACCTGAAGAGCAACCAGGGACCAGCACATGGGAGTCACTGGGTTCCCATGTAGTTGACTGTGGTCCGAGGCCCAGACCCGGCAGCTTAAAACTCAGGCCGGGTGTGCGTGCGTGCCCAAGATCCTGAGAGGAGGATGGAGGAGAAGGGATTTCTATGTGACCATCCCCCCAGGGAGGTGATTTCTCGCTCTCTGGTGAGTGCATGCACCCTATAGCAAAACTTCTCTTAAAAAAAGAAGATAGCAGCGGGGAGTGTTGAGCAGCTCCCATTTAGCTCTGGTGCTCAGGATAACCCTAAAGGGAAGAGGGTTACATGCTTGTTTTCTGGCAAGGAGACTGAAACAAGGAGAGGAGGAATACTGTCCAGTGTCACACAGCTAATGAGTAGAGCCAGCATTCTAACGGGTCTATTGCAGTGTAACCTATCACCCTACAATGGCTTAAAACAATCATTTATTATCTCTCATGGGTTCTGTGTATTAGAAATTCAGACAGGATACAATGGGGGGAGTTTATTCCTCTCTGGAAGATTTGAAGAGAGGATCCTGGAGTCATCCAAAGGTTCCTTCACAGGGGAACTGGACCCACATGGGAGGACCTGGGTTTACGTCCTGAAGCTTCCCTGAGCACGTAGGGTGTGCACGTGTGTGCTCACGATTCAGGCTGGCTGAAGCTGATGGTGGTATGAAAACCCTGTTGAGGGTTCCTGGCCATATTTCTGTCTTCCTTGTGGAAGAAGTAAATCAACTTAAAACCAAAACACAACAGCGAAGGTCCTTCACTCGTATGTAAAGGTGAATACCGACCGTCAGCTGGAACCCCTATGCAGAGCCCTCCGTATGATCTGTGCTTGTTCATGACAGTGGCTGGGTTTTAAAGGCAAGTGTCCTGACAGAGAGAGAAACATATGTGACATAGACCCATGTTTGGGCACCCACACGGTGGGAGGTGGGGCAGGGGTGGATGTGGAGAGCCAGCTGGGTTTAAGCTATGTAATTTTCTGATAAAGCCTTAGAAGTCACATAGATCACTTTTGCTGTATTCCATTGGTCTTGGCAGTCAAGGTTGTGCCCAAAGTTCAAGGGGAAAAGACAGACCCCACCTCTTGGTAGGATAAGCCTAAGTCACTGTGAATAAAGGACATATGGAGGGGCCAGCAGGTGGCACGGTGGCTAAGGTGCTGGACTTCTACATGACTGACTGGTTTGTGCCCAGACCTGGTGTCTTGAATCTCATGCTGGGCATATATGTGTGCATACCCCAAATCCCAAGAGGAGAATGGAGGAGAAGGGATTGCAGTGTGGCCATACCCTTTGGGGGGGGGTGATCTCTCACTATGTCCCTGCGTCCCTGTGAATATACATCCCCTATAGCCAAAACCTTAAAAAAAATAAAAAAACAAACCACCAAACATGTGGAATGAGGTAAGTGTCGTTTCAGCCTTCTTTGGAAATAAGGACACACCACAGCTGGCCTGCCTATTCCCAAACCAGCGTTTACTCCACCCTTCCACTTTACCCTCCCACGCTCATCACCTCCATTGTTTTAGTCTGCTTTTCTGTCCTGCTAACTGAATATCTGAGTAATTTATAAACAGCAGAGGTTTATTTAGCTTTCAGTTTTGGAGGTTCAAGGTCAGGGGGCCATATCTGATGAAAGTCTTGGGGGCTCGCTACGCACTCAAGACAACACAGAACATTACATGGTAAGAGAAGAACTCTTGGTCTGCTCCTCTTCTTTTTTTAACAATTATTTAATTTTATTATTCTTCAGTTTGACCAGAGAGAGTAAGTGAGAAAGTAAGCTTTCAGGTCTAGGGCTCACACTGCAGTTGGCCATGTGGGAGTCCGCCCTTAACCACCATGCCACCTGCTGCCCAATCCCAGTCACCTCCCAATGGCCCCACCTTTCAACTCCATGATTGGATTGAGTCTCCTCTCCCACACTGTTACAGTGGCTCACCACTTTTCAGTACATGAATTTGGGGAGGGGGTTGGGAGACATTCAAACCATAGCATTAGTTTTGCCTATTTTCTGGCATTTAGTTTCCTACCAGACCCTTGAATCCTCTTGGATGCTTTAGAGTCATTGTAGCCTCACACACAGCCCTTTGTGTCTGAAGTGCTGAAGATGCCAACTGTGGTCCTTCCCGTAGGCCTTTGTAATTTTTAGCTACTCTAGGCAGGGAGCTTTTCACTCAGGCTTTGAAACATGGAATTCTGCCATTTTGCCTGTCGTCTATTCATCTAAGGCAAATCGTAAGATGGGCTTCATGTTAATGGATAGCTTCTCAAATAGAACTGCTTTCGAACAGTGGTACTTTACGGTCAATATGGCACCCACTTACATGGCCCCCTGTGCAAGGAAAGAATTCATTCATGAAAGATGAGCCCCAGCAACAATGGCAGCTGTAGTGG